GTTTTTATTATTTTAGGTTTTTTTATCTTTTCTTGTAAAAAAAATCAAATATTAATTAAAATTATTAAAAATATGTAAAATATTATTAAAATTAATTACATCGATATGATAAATTTACATTTTTAGATAATATGTGTACATAGTTTATACTCATTCCATCCCAAAATAATTATCCATTTTTTACTTTAAATTTGTTCTAAATTAATTTTTAGTTTTTTTATTTTTTATTTTAAGGTTGATATATGTTTCCTACTTTAACTCTATTGTTATCCTTTTATTATAATTATTATTTTATCACAAAAAATCTTTCTTTATCTTTTAATTTTGTAAAGGTAATATAAATAAACGCATAAATTATTCCTAAATTCTTAATTTAGGAAAAAAGTTTTAGCACAAAGGGAGTAAATATGTCATTGGTAGAGTTTTCTTGCTAAAACTAGAATTTCTTTTAACAAAAAAATAAAAACTAGAAGTTTATTTAATATTGAGATATTCTAATTTAAAAAGTCTTTCCTTGAATAAAATAATTAATTTAGGAAATAATAAATTTAAGTTTAAAATTTATCTAATTCTTAAAATATCAGGAACTGTTTGGAATTTTTGTGTAATGTTGTGGCTGTTTCTATACAAACTATGTTCATGTTAATTTAATAATTTTTAAAAGTGGAACCAAAAAAAATTTTAAAGTATTACTATTCCTCTAAACAAGTGCCACTACAATACACAAGATATTAGACCAAATTAATTTAATTTTATCAAATTAACATTTTTAGTATTAACTAATTGTATTATTAGTATGTTTAGTTTGAGTGGAGGGAAGGTGAAGAAAGAGAAGAAATTTTTTTTATTTAGTTACTAAAAAATATAGAGGGGAAAGAAGAGAAATGGTCCCCTCTCTCTATTTTTCCCAAACCAAAAGTCTCATGAAAGTAATATCAAACGCACTGAACTCTTTCTACTACTACTTCATAAAAGTAGTTGGTATTGTGCATAGGGTTTAGAGTTCTCCGCTGCCTAATTATACACTATGCGAATTAATTGAATTTGTAGTGTTTAGGAGTAAAGTTCAAAGTGTTAGTGGGGTGATGAATTTATTTTAAGACTGATTTTCCTTTTCTTGTTTCAGTTAATTTATTCTTGTACATCTTTTATGGTTATTGATTTCAGAGAGAAGAATCCAATCGAAAATTCACCTCTGTTGCGATTCTAGACCCTTCTCCATGGAATTTCTTGAAATAAGCATCCTGCCATTGATAGAGAAAATAAAGAAGTATGCTCATTCCCAAAAAGAATTGAGCGGCCTGCTGGAAGATATTTTGGAAAAAGCAAAGCAGAATCCTAGAAATTTCAAGTCGAGAGAGCTTCTGACTCAAATTTGCAGTGTGGAGGATACCATTGACTCCATCATTGCTAGAAAAATGCTGCAGAGACAAAATATCTCCATCGAGAAGATTCCTGTCAAATATTTTTCAATTGCAATGAGCACTGTCAAATTTCCTAACGAGTTGCACAAGCAAACTAAGGGGCTAAAAATATTGAATGAGTCCTTGTCTGCCTCAGTTACAGAAGAGAAGTTATCGAGCAAATCAGATGCCGTAGAGCTTCCAGCAAAGGAGTCCTCTAGTAACACAGTTCCTCAAAAGAAGTCGTCCAGTAACACAGTTCCTCAAAAGAAGTCCTCTAAAGAAGATGCAGTTTTATTAAAAAAACCAAGTATTTCAGGGGGCGGTCTAGTCTCATCAGGAAACAAAGATGTTGGGAGGGACATCAAGGATTCAGATGAAAGACATCATCAGAGTTGGGAGGAAGGGTGTGTCCCAATTGTCTTGGAGGAGTTAGTAAGCAAGTTAGCTCAACTTGTACTCCTTAGCAGGCGGATGAGGCAACTTCTCATTTTGAAAGCCAATTTGAAATACCCGAGCGATGCAATTTTCTTGTGGACTTCCTACCATTCTTCTGTTACTAAACAACATTTTCAGTTTTGCTCTTGGGTTCGTGTTTCTAAAGAGTCAGGAGAAAGAAATATCTTAAGTGATATTTTGTCTATTAAGCAGGAAGAACTCGAGCTGTCAAATCAGTTACTGAGGAAGCGGCTTCAAGATTTCTTAGTTTTTGAAAGGTACTTGATAGTTTTACATGGTGAACTAAGAGACGATGTTTGGAACAGTCTCAAATCTGCTTTTCCCTACTCATTGAATGGTAGCCGAGTGCTTCTCATCTGTAAAGGAATCACTTCAACCAATGTTTCAAAGGAATGGTCAAGCCAACAACTAGGGAAGTCTAAAGATTATTTGCTGGAGGAATCCAGAATTCTTGGCATGAAGGATATTATGACTGAGTCATACCAGTTAATCTTAAATCAGTATAGATTGTTGTTTCTCATTTCCATTGTTGGGGTGGCAAAATCAGAGAAGACAACTTTTTTGTGTGATATGTACAATGCAGAGGGTATTAAGCAGCAATTCCAATACCGTGCCTGGGTTCGTATTCCAAAGTTTGAAGAAAAAAACGTTCTAGCTGATATTTGGGAACAAGTTACAGATAACAAGGTAGAAGAAGAAGACCTTGACCTGGTGACACTACAGAAGAAGCTTTGCAATTTCCTAGCTCCAAAGAGGTACCGTATAGTTTTATATGATGTTTGGGACAAACTCAAACAAGCCTTTCCCAACTCCATGAATGGTAGCCGGATGATTCTAACTGTCCATGAGGCTGATGTGGCTAGGCAAACCAATTCTTCTTGGATCTTGGGAACAGTTTGCGGAAAAGAGTTGCTGCATGAAAAGGTTTCAAATCTAAAAGTTGAACATAGGTGGGGAAGATTCTCTGATGTTAAGGCTAATGAGTCAGGCCTTGTTGGACTGGATGATAAAGTTCAGGAATTAGGTGAACTGCTACTTGAGAGTCATCAATTTCTAATCTCAGTGGTGGGTGTGAAGGGCTCTGGCAAGACAATGCTTGTGAAGGCAATTTACAGTAGTTTAGCAATTAAGCAGCATTTTGAGTGTCGAGCTTTTGTTTCTGTTTCTCAAGTATTTGAGGAGAGAAAACTCTTGGCAGACTTATCAATGCAGCTGGGAATGGTGCTGAAGGATGAGAACTGGTCCGAAAAGGAATTGCAAAAAAGACTTAGAAGTTTCTTGGCTTGGAAGAGATACCTAATAGTTTTAGATGTCTATACAGTTGATGACTATACAGTTGATGTCTGGTAAAGACTTAGTCCTGCTTTTCCAAATTCATTAACTGGGAGTAAGGTGATACTCACTACTCGTGATGCTCAGGTGCCACACAATATTAAACCACATACCAGAGTCATCCAACTACGTTTTCTAAACGATTATGAAAGTTGGAAATTGTTTGAAAAGAAGGTACCAACAGTTGTAGAAAATGCAGAATTGATTAAAGCTGTCAAAGAAAAGATTTTGCAGAGATGTGGCGGCCTGCCTCTTGATATAGTTGTACTTGGAGGTTTGCTGTCTACCAAGCAACTAGACATCTCAGAATGGTCTGAATTCATTGATCAAATCAGTCAAAAGAAAGAAAAAAAGAGGGTAGCAGATCAGTCATATTCTTTCACCCAACATGATTCATCAGATACCAAGCTGGAAGAGAAAAATGGTAAGGGGGAGATTGGGCAAATAGGTCCAGGTGAAGCTCCACCGATGCAGGAAGAAGAAAAGGTGAAGCGTGGAGCAACCAAAGAAGATCAGGAACCTTTGCCAAATCAATTGCCTTTATCATCAGATACCAAGCTAAAAGAAGACAGCAGGATCTTGGAGAGCCAGAATACTTCTCTTGATCAAGATCAATCAGATTCCTCAGATGAAACCCTCTCAGGTATTTTGGCTTTAGGCTATCAAGACCTAAATGGCCATTTAAAGTTCTGCCTTAATTATTTAGGCCTCTTTCCCAAACCATACAAGGTTCCTTTTAGGAGGTTGTTTCAACTATTGCAAGCCGAGGGATTGTTGAAACAAGAAGCATATGCAGAAAGTTTTGAAGTGCAGGTGAAGAAATACATTGAAGACTTAGAAAAAAGAAACATGATTGAGGTAGAAAAACAGAAGTCAAATGGGAGCCCCAAAACCATTTGTATGCAAAGTACTATATATGATACATTGTCTCCACAAGCATTGAGAGCTGGATTGTTTCACTTTCACTTCAACAATGATAAGAAAGATGCTCCCAAAGAGTACATCCGAAGACTTGCAGAACACCAAGAGATCAGCTATGACAGGCTTCCAGAGCAGAACCGTCAGCTACGTTCTTACATTTCATTCAGAACGGAAGAAAGTGATCTACCTGCATCCAGAGTAGATAAACTTCTTAAAGGGATTGTTAAGGGAGGCTTTGGATTACTTGTCATACTTGATTTGGAAGGAGTCTACCAACCAGTGTTACCTGAACATCTAGCCAAGTTTCTCGAACTCAAGTATTTGGGTTTAAGATGGACTTTTTTGGATTCAATTCCAGATTCAGTTGGTGACTTGCTTAGCCTTGAGACTCTGGACGTGAAGCATACTAATATCATCACTTTACCTGGTGAGTTCTGGAAGGCAAAATGTCTTCAACATCTTTATATGAGCGATATTTGTATTGATACATCTATTCTAAAGGGCCGTCAAACAAATGGATCATTAACCCATCTTCAGACTTGATCGGGTCTGGTGATCCGCAATAAGAATTCTGTAGATTATTTGAAGGCAGCAGGCATGTCTGGTCTTAGAAAACTGGAAGTGAAATGGTCTCCAGAATTAATTGAAGAAATAGTTCGGTGGATTTCTATGTTGACCCAACTTCAATCAGTGAAGTTAAGGTCAATGGACAAAAGCCGCAAACCTTCTTCATTGGAATTAGGGAACTTAAGCCGACATTATATGCTATCACAGTTGTAGTTGTTTGGAAAACTTCCAGAGAAATTTGATTTTGGTACATTTCCCCCAAAGCTAGAGATCCTTACTTTAGCGGTGTCAAAACTGTTCGACGACCCAATGGAAGAACTAGGAAAGCTGGAGAGCCTGAAGGTCCTAAGGCTGCACGCCCATTCCTACTTGGGGAAAACAATGCAATGTGGTCGTGGCAGTTTCCCAAAGCGCAAGTCTTAAAATTGTGGATGCTTGAGGAGCTCGAGAAATGGGAAGTAGAAGAGGGAGCCATGCCCGTCTTAGAAGAAGTTGAGATCAGATGCTGTAAGAAACTCAGTAATGCTGATGGATTGAAGGAGTTGACCACTTTGAAGGAATTGATTTTGACAAGTATGAATCAGGATTTTGTGAAGGAGCTTAAAGAAAGACTAGGCAGCAATGTGTCAGTCAGAGAAAACGACTGGAAATTTTCTTCTAACTGGGTGAGTTCTTCTCACATAGTTTACTTTCGGATTTTTTTTTTTTTTTTTTTAAATTTTCATTCCAATTAATGTAAAAATAAAAAATGACATATTAATTGAGAATGGTTTTATTCATGGTGGACTAAAAAACATCTGTTCAGAGTGGGAAAAGAGAGAAAAAAAAAACACTATATATTAGTGAATCTTAGTATTCATTAATACATTTCTGATTCATTAGTGTATTTTTGTCTATTCAAATCCCAAACTGATGTGGTAAGGCCAATTGTAAGAAAACATTTGTGCATATTAATTATGGTATGTTTTCTTTTGCTTGAGATGCTGCTGCAATAGAAAGAAAGATAGTTCTGCAAAATTAACGGTCTTTTCTTTCAATTATCTTTGTTTTTGTTAGGAAAATAATGCACAAGGAATCAAAAGCTGGGTTTAAATGGAATCAACAGCATAGTATCTACAAGTGGAAATCAAATTCGTGGAGTGATCTCTGGGTTTCAGCGCGGATGAGTATCATCATAGTGACTTTACGCTGGCGTCGAAAGCAGGGATCTCGCCATGCATTGCTCTAATTTCGTTCTCTGTATATCTAGTGTGATATCGATTTGGCTCCAAAATAACCCTGTCATTAGCACATGCTTTTCATTTTTTAGATTTTTTTTTTTTTGTATTTTTTTTTGTATTGTAGTGCTGGAATAATGATTGTTAGAATCATTACTTAGTGTGCCATGTCAAGGCTTCTGTCTATTTAATGCTGATCTATATAAAATAGCAGGGGAACTTGTAGAGCCACAATTTCAATCCTTTTAAATTTCCTGTTATAGATATGACAATGGACATTTTGTTTGTGTTGAGTGTCAACAAAAGCACAAGAGTACTGGAACGTACTCACAAATTAAAAATTTTGGATTACAAAAATAATACAATTACAATGTTACATGATATTTTTAATTTGTAATTATAACATGTTACTATGTGATTGATGATTTGAATTTAGAAGCTCACTCATTATATGCATCTACTTATTTAATGATACGTCATGATTATAAATTTATAATCTTATATGACATTGTAACTATAGTACTGGTGATTTTATTTATAACTTATTTGATTTGGTAGGAGAAGAGGGGAAGGAGCTTCCCTTTAAATTTTTTCTACAATTTTAGCGTAACCAAAAGAGAGAAGGGGAGGCAAGCAAAGGAAATGGAAGGATATTGTCTTCCATCCCCCCCTTTTCCTTTCATTTCCCTCAATTAGCTAAGATTAAAGATTCAAACTCTTACAATACTAACAAATAATTCTATATGTACCAAAAAATAAAAGTTAGTCTATAGAGTCATAACAACCATAACAATAATTAATTAATAATAATTAATTTTTACTATCATTAAGCCCAAAAACTAAAAAGGAAGAGACTAATACACTTGTATATTATGGATCAAATTTACCTTGGTGACTCTACTTCTTCCATGCAATTATAATGATGATTAACACCCCCTTCACATGCACGCACATTTGACCTATTGCTACCTAGTAGGTGTTATTGTTGTAACTAGCGTGAGAATGATATAGAAGAAAGAAGAGGAATGAAACTCTTTGTAGTCTCTTTGTCTCTCTATTTCATACTTTTTCTACTTGTTTCTTTCTATATTTCACAAAATGTTATTAGCACGAACTATCTCTATATGATTTATCTCATGGAACACATTTGAGTTAATGAATTTATTGAGGTAAGGATTCAAGTTGAGATGAAGTTTTGAGGCATAATTTTTTCTTTCAATTTATGGTTTCTAATTTGAATATTTTATAGTGTGTATGACAATTCTCTAATTTATATGTTATTTTACAATTATCACATGATTTGAGTTCGATGTCCTTAATAAATTGGGTTCAAACTATTTATCATGAACTCTTTATGTAGAAATTCATTTAGCTACAATGAATCTTCAAGATTTAATTGTAGAATGGAGTGAATCATCCTTAAAAGAATAAAATATTTTTGAAAAAAAAAAAGATGAAGTGATATTTCTTTAATATGAAGACTACAAAGGATTAAAAGATGAATATTTGACGATGAATTATTCATTGAAAATTTTGAATAATTAGGAAGATAGATGATCACAATAAATTAGTGTATTTTCGAAAGCTAGATATGAATAGATTTATTTTTTGTAGATATTTTGAATTACTTTATATGAAGAAAATAATCATTAATGAAGACATATTAGAAAAGATTTACTCTATTTTTCATGCCTCAAGTATGCTCTAAAGTAGCAATATTGAGAGTAATGTTTTAGATGTATTCCAAACCAATATCATGTCTTTTTATTCCTAATTAAAATGATGAACTTTTGATGAAAGAATCATCGATCACAATCATCATTTGATTCCTTTCCCTGAAGAAAATGTGACATTATATTAAAACCATTGTTACAAATATGGTTGTGCGATGTTTTGCCCCAAAATTAATTACCTTAACTAGGCAGTTGTTGGAGCATGGTTTTAAGTGTCGAATCCACAAGAAAACTATATTAAACCAACAAAAGGATTTGTCACAATGAAAAATTAAATTAAAAGATGATTTCTAAATTTAAGAATAAAGATATTTAAATGAAAGATGATAATTGCAAAGGATTGAAAATAATATTATAACAAGCAAAACTCTAGGGTTCACTTAATTGATTTGTTCAACTGTTATAAATTTTGATTCTCATTTATCATTCAATTGCATGTTTTACATCCCAAATAAATAATCGAAAGATATAACCTTGAAGACCAATAATAATAACTATCATATTTACTCTAAGAGAAATTAATTTTAATGAAAAACAAACCAATCTATCCTTACAAGTTATTTGAAAACAACAATATATCTAATTGACAATACTATAGTAAAAGATTAACCCGTAAAACAAATCTACCAATCACTTACATTCTAACAAATTACACATAAAAAGAGTATGACTAATTCTATATGAAATTTAATAAATATAACTTCTAGGGTTTTCATATCTAAAAATAATTAGCAATGGGTTTTTATGTCTAAAAATAATTAACAATCTTTCAAAAATAAAATTAAAAGATAAAATCTATGAAGGAATCAAAATAAAATAATAAGTCAAATTCTTCAATCAAGATCCTCCCTAATCTTGTTGAAAGTTTAGTTGCATTTTTACATAATTCTCTACTACAAGAAAAAAAGAAAATACAAGTTTAGGAACGACCTTTGGAGATCCTAAACCTAGTTTTAAAGACTCTTATTTTTACTAGGAATGAAATAAGAATATTTGATAATTGAGATAACAGTTTTGGGAAATTAATTTTATTTTTTTTCCTGGTTAAATGCTAAATTTGGTCCCTCCACTTTACAGAGTTGCATTTTTTTGATCCCTCAAAATTTTTTGCAATTTTTTGATCCCTCAACTTTAAGAAATGCACAACGTTGGTCCTTTCGTCAATTTGGGCTATTAAGTTCGCTCACGTGGCATTTTTTATATTTTGTTTGCTAACATGGATAACACAAGTAGAAAAAAATGCTTATTTGGACTAAAACTTATGCCACGTTGCAAATAAACTCTACCCACTTCATTTAATAAATAATAAAAACTTTAAAATTACATAAATGTCCTTAACTTAATCTTCTTCCCTTGATTTCCTCTTTTCTCCCCTTTATTCATTAACTCTAAACTTCGACTACTTTTCCCTCCCTCTCCTTGTCTCTGGTAGCTTCTCCTTCTCTTTTCCTTTTTCTGGTGCCAACTTTTCGTCCCTTCTCCTTCCATCCTTTGTTTGACTTTTTTTTTTTTTCTAAAATATGGGTTTGAACAAGATCTGGGTTCGAGCAAAATGAAAAAAACCTTGTAGATATTGGTTCGAGCAAGATGAACCCAGCTGTTGGGTTTGTCGAAACCCAACTGTTGGGTTCGCGCGACTAGCACGGTTGGGTTTCGACGAACCCAGCTGCTAGGTTCATGCGACCAGCAAGGTTAGGTTTCGACCAACCCAGCCTTGCTAGTTTCATCGAAACCCAACCTTGTTGATTTTGTTGAAACCCAGCCTTGTTGGGTTTCAACGTTGGGTTTATGTTTTTTCATTCTTCTTTTGATTTTCATTTCCAATTCTTGATAAATTTGGGAGTTGATTTACAATTTGATTGCATTTTTGTTGGAATTGGATTAGAGTTTGATTGATATTGTTTATTGAAGGGTTAATTTGATTCGTTGAGATCTACTACCTTGATGAACTCAGTGCTTTAATGAAACCAGTAATTGGGTTCGATGACAGAAAACTCAAATTTTGCTCTGGAGCATTCTAGGGTTCATAGTTCTTTGCAGGTTTTAGTGCGTTTGATTTGTGATAATATTACGTGGCATAATGTTTTGTCCATATCAGTATCTTTTTAAGTTGTTTTCTTCGTGTCATTAACATGTCATCAAACAAAATATAAAAAATGCCACATGAGCGGACTTAATGCTCAAATTGACGGAAGGACTAACGTTGTGTATTTCTTAGAGTTGAGGGATTAAAAAAGTGCAAAAAATTGTTGAGGGATCAAAAAAGTGCAACTCTATAAAGTTGAGGGACCAAATTTAGCATTTAACCTTTTTTCTTCTCACACATTATTGTCGCATAGGAGTAGGAACTTGACCTCAAAGTGTAGAACCCTATATATTTCTATTTTTGCACATAAGTTGATTAGGAGTTGAAATCTAATCATAGGGTGTGAATCCTCACATTTCACTGTTTTTCCTTTTTGCTTGATCAAGGGTTGGAACATGAAAATAGGTTCTAACACCTCATTAACACATCAATTTCATGTACTTTGCTTCTTAGTAAAAAATGGAGAAAGTCCTACTTAAGCGTTTAAACTTTTAAATTTGACACTTAGACCCTTATCTTTTTGAATCTTTGCATTTAAGTCTTTTTCTTCTAATTCTCTCCATTTTATTATTAAATCTTTAATCATAAAAAATTACACAACTAAGAGAATGAACACTTATAAAAAATTACTTATATAAAAATATAACTCTTAAACTTATAATTTCACAAATGTCAATGAATAAGCAGATGCACTTTAAATATATATTTTCATGCTTTCATCATTGTGGAAATGAAATAATACAAAAAATGAATATGTTTGCAAAATAAATTGGCAAAGAATTTGAAAGTTCTTATTATAGATGTATAGATGTGATATAAACAAACATTAATCATATAATTTTAATATATCTAAAAAATTCATATATCTATTGTAAATTTCCAAGTACATGCTTGATTTCTTACAAGCTTTACTCCAAGAGAAGGGAAAATGTGTAAAAACAAAATTTGTGAAAAACAATAATATGGGTATATACTTGTGATACTTGTGATACACAATTTGATATTAAACTTAGACATCTCATATCCATTTTGAGAATATTGGAGAAAGGTGACTCATATTTGAAAAATAAAAAATACATCCCAATGTAGGAATTGTGAATTAAGGAGAATTTTAAAGATCAAGTCTCTTCAATAAGAAGGAATTTATTTCTAACGAGCAGAAGACATGTGTGAATGCATTTATGACATTGACATGTGTTAACACTTAAAAAAAAAAATGGTGTGAAACCAAGTATCTTATTGATAAAAAATGAAGAGAGCATACAATAGAGAGAATGAAGAAAAATAATCTACCTCCTATGTTTATCATTGGGTTATTTATAGGATATTACATAGAGTCACCTTAGGATTACAACTTTATTTAGGTTGGTTTTGGATATTCTATTTCTAATGGGATTTAACTTATCTTATTTGATAGAGCTCTTCTAGAGTACTTCCACATGTCCTAATTCTTATAAGATTTGATTTAGGGTACAACATTTGCCCCCCCAACAAAGAAGTTTAAGCGTAGTGAAAACTTGCTTCATTTCATTCCAACATAGGTTTGGTTATAGGTAACTCTCTCTCATAAACTTTTGTTGTACTTGGTTCTAAGTTCTACGCAAGTTTTTCAAGCAAAACTTTATGCAAAGCCCTTTACTTTCATAAGTGAAGACGAGGTTTAAATCCTCTATTGGTTACATGTTTTTGGTCTCTACATTTTAGAGATTCTGAACCTTCATCGCGAAGGTTTTGTTTCCAACTGTGACTACTTCGTTAAAAACCTTAGCTAATAAAAACCCTATGGAATAAAAAACTAGTTTAAGGAAAAAAGAGTGCAACGGAGGTTTTCCTCTATGTTCATGATATTTGGTGTAGCTTCTGATAAAAAAATTCCTACGAAAATTAAACATTTAATGGATCTTTGACATTCTACTTAGGTATCATGATTCCTTTGTCAGCTTTGTCTTCAGGAGTTTTTGGCTTCCAAAAAAATTAAAGTCCCAACTTAAATTTAAAAACTAAAATCTCAATTTAAAATTCAAAAATTCATTCAATTCTAAATCTAAATATTAATACTTAATAAGATAAACTTTTAAATTTTAAATTGATTTTTGATTAAATAAAATGATATAATTTAAAATTAGGACTTCAATTTTTATAAAAGCCAAAATTGATATATATATTTTCCTTATAAATAACTCATAAAAAATTTTAAAATATAAAAGTCAACTAAGATGTGAGGTCCTTAAACATCTAATTCCACCATAATTAGTTAATATAAATTATAAATTAATATTTTTTAAAACTAATTAATTAAGTGTTATTGTATATAATTATGGGTTCTCTTTAATTAATTAACCAATTTCCTGAAGTGAAGTTAATTATTTCACTACTTATTAAATTAATCACATTTTTATGTAATTTAAAACAAATTGATGAGCATTACTTTTTCTCTTTCTCCACTATCATATCTAATGCTAAGTACATCTTAGTTTCATAATTTAACACATGGTTTATGTCATTATTGATTTAATTAATACAATTTTTTTTCGAGCTCATATATAAATCACATAATCAATTAAAATGTAATTAAACTTTTAAAATATTAAATTCAACAATAAAAACTAATTATATAAATAATTTTAATTAAAAGTATAAAAATTACAAAACTTATATTAAATTGATTAAGGCCATTAGGTACAACATAAGTCTAGTTAAGTAAATGAGGTCATAACTTATTTCATATCATTTTAATCATTTTTTTAGTATTTATGTTGTTAAAGATTACTTTTATATGATAAACAGAAAGATGAGAAAATAAAGACAAATATAAAATATGGGAAAAAATAAAAATTAATTAAATAAAAATTATTTATTATCATTTTTTATAAAATACTTGTTTATTAACATCTTTGCTTCTTATTTCTTTGTTTCCTAGTATATATTATTGGTTAAAACCCCATTTTGGTCCCTGAACTATTGTACGGACCCCTGATTTGGTCTTAAACTAAAAAAATCTCTGATTTGAGCCATATTGTTTATCAATTTTACCCCAATTTGGTCCTTTCGTTAAAAATGTAGTGACGTGTCCTGTTAATTAACTGGAGTATGATGACATGTCGAAATATTATGACACGTTAGTTGTACACATGGAGATGTCATAAAACATGTCAGATTCTTGGCCAAAAAAAAAATAAAAATGTAGTGACGTGTCCTGTTAATTAACTGGAGTATGATGACATGTCGAAATATTATGACACGTCAGCTGTACACATGGACATGTCATAAAACATGTCAGATTCTTAGCCAACAAAAAAAAAAAAAGGGGCCCACCTCCTGCCAAAACTCACTATCTTCTCCCCCTTTTTCCCATTTGAACCCTAGAAGAGCAGGGGGCAAATTGTAACAACAGTCGCCTCTGGGTTCGTTCGAGAACCCAAGGACTAGAACCCAAGCATTGGGTTCCTTAACGAACCTAGCTCTTGCGTTCCTTCGAGAACCCAAGCATTGGGTTCGTGGAACCCAATCACTAGGTTTGTTTGAGAACCCAGGTGTTGGGTTTCGTTCGAACCCAAGCCCTAGGTTTCTTCTTGAACCTAGGCGTTGGGTTTGTTGGAACCCAGTGCCTGGGTTCCTTCGAGAACCCAAGAGTTGGTTTCGTTCAAACTCAAGGGCAAAATTTTTTTTTTTATTTTTATTTGTGGGTTTGGTTGTTTGTTGAAGATGAAGAAGGAAGGAAAAAGAAAGAGCACTTGTTGGGTTCGATTCAACCCAAGCGTTGGGTTCCTTTGAATTGATTGTTTAATTGTTTCATTGAATTAATTGTCTGAATGAAGGAAGATTCGAGAAAGAGGATGCGAGAGGAAGAAGATGATGGTAAAATTATAATTTGGTTGGGCCCACTTTTTTTTTTTTTTTTTGGTGTTGGGTATGAATATGACTTATCATGTTGCCATGTCATCATTTATCCATTTGTACAATTGATGTGTCTCAAATTTTTTACGTCTGTGAGTTAACGGTGGATTTTTAATGGAAGAACCAAATTGGGGTAAAATTGGTAAATAGTAGGGACCAAATCAAAGATTTTTTTTAGTTCAAGGACCAAATCGGAGGTCCATACAATAGTTCAGAGATCAAAATTGGGTTTTAACCTATATTATTCTACTTAATATATATATTTATTTTTATCATTCAACTAATTATTTTTATATTACACTATCAACTACTATTAATTTATAGTTAAAAACTAAAAAATATTATTTAAATTTTTTATTTTTTAAATTGACACACAAAGTCATCTTTTTTAGTTAAAATTTTATTTTGCCCTGCCTAAAACTATTTCTTGACTCCTTCACTACATTAGATTTTATATATTTAATAGTTATAATTAAATATTTTAATATTTTTAAAATCAAAATATCTTGAAATTTTCTTTTTTCTATTTTTTTTATAAAAAAGTGAGTATTTATAGCCGTTTAAAAAACCTAATTGAAATAAAATTGGGATCCATGTCAAAATAATAACAATTTGACACAGGCTAGTTAAAAATTGTTCTTGAGGTTGATACCACAAGCTAAATTGTCAACACCTTTATTTTTTTTGTACATTTAATAATAATAGATTATTAAAAAAAAAGAATAATAGTCTCTTTTTCTTTAAATTTTTTTGACTTAAAATTCAATTGTGCACTTCAATCTTCAGATTTTTTATCTCTGCAGTTTGATCCTAAAAGTTATGATTTCTTTCAATTAAGTTTTTTTCTACATAATAATAAAAATTATAATAAATCAAATAAAATCTCATGAAACTCATTTAAATATCAATAATGTAAAGACAAAAATTCTACATTAACATATGAAAATTGAACTCATTATTATAAGGTTAAATGCTAAATTTAGTTCCTCAACTTTAAAAAATGCACATTTTTGATCCTTCAACAAATTTTTGCATTTTTTTTATCCCTTGACTCTAAAAATTGCACAGTTTTGGTCCCTCCGTCAATTAAGTATGATGTGGCAGTTAAATAATTTCATGTGGCATTATCTTTTAATTTTTTTGATGATGTGGCAATAATATATATTTTAATTATGTTATATAAATAAAAAAATAACACGTAGATTAATATTTATAGTTTAAATAAAAACAAATAAAATTACCTAACTACCCTCACCCACCCAATCCCTCTTCTTCCCCTTCTTTCTTTCTCTTTCTTTCTTTCCTGCCTTGGGTCTCCACTTCCGATGGCTGCGACGAACCCAGCCTGCTGGATCTCGTCGCACCCATCCTGCTGGGTCTCGTCGGAACCCAGCAAGGGAAACCCAGCCAGGCTGGGTTCGACGAGACCCAGATCTGCTGGGTTCCGTCAAACCCAGCAAGGTTGGGTCTCCTCGAACCCAGCTTGGCTGGGTTCCGACGAACCCTGCTGGGTCTCGTCGAACCTAGCCTGGCTGGGTTTCCCTTGCTGGGTTCCGACGAACCCTGCTGGGTCTCGTCGAACCCAGCCTTGCTGGGTTTCCCCGAACCCAGCTGCTG